GGCCCCGGTCTTGGTGCGGGACTTGAGCTGTGGCTCCGGGTAGTGTCCATTGCATTAGACTCATTTTCTCGCACTTGCCCTTCCCGGGTTGCCGCGCTAGTCACGCCACTATCTCCGAATCCACGGGAGAACGTTAGAGTGCCTGAATAGCGAGAGGATGGTCAGGTGGGAAACTCCGAAAATCCATCAGGTCCACAACGATGCAAGGTGTCTGCAAGTCCGGAATTTCCGGAAAGTCCGGAAATAGTACTGATTTTTTAAGGGCGGTCCGGAAGTACTGAAAAAGTACGGAAATTCCGCTAGAAGGTCCGGAATTTTTGCATTTTTTTGTCGATTCTGCGTCGCAATTCTAGCGAGAAACTTAAATTTTTGAACTTTTTCGAATTTCATCAATCGGAGGTACTGAATTTCTTGGGAATGCACTGAAAAAGTACTGTGTAAGTACTGATTTTTGAATAACCTGTTTTAGTAGACACCCTGCGATGCCTCCGCGAAGAAGGTTCTGCGGGATGAAAATATACAACCTCATTTTCCCCCCAAAATGATTATTGATTTTGACACTCAGTGTGCTTTGAGCAAATTTAACTTTAAATTTCAAAAATAAGAGACACTTCTTCGCGCGTTGATGACGGCGCAGATATACGACTATTCGTGCTTGATGGATGTCCGTGTTGCATCTGCAAAATTGAAGGCACGATTGTGTTAGGCGTGATCTGTCAATGCTCCGGTCTATGCTGTCAATGAGGTGTCGGTCACATTCAGGAGGAAATTTAAAAAAAAGAGGCCGGATTGCGTCTTACCTAAGTTCTACTGTGTTGCAAACGTGTTCTCTTTGGCCCGCTGTAAGAACAACACAAACGGAACCAACAACATAGAAATAAAGGAAGGGAAATGACGCACGTTGAAGACGGCGCAAAGATACAACTATTCGTACTTGATGGATGTCCGTGTGGTATCTGCAAAATGGAAGGCGCGATGGCGCGAGGCGTGAATTCGCAACGCTCTGCTCTATCCTGTGAATGGGGTGTCGCTCACAATCATAATCAGGAGCGAAGTTAAACAACGAGGCCTGAAAGCGTTCCTCCTGTCTTTGGCTGTGTTGACACTTGATTATTTTCCCTTTTATCCCTCTTCTCCACGAATCACGACCCCTCCCGTATTCGGAAAATTTCCAGTGAAGAAACTTTTGATTCCCTTCATTATCTCATCCAGAATCGAATATTTTGGTCAGCCATCTGGCAGCAGTGGTACCTGAGTTGTCTTCCCGCGTGGTCCTCGGATCTGAACGAGGAATTTGAACGCTTTCAATCATCCAGGGTTGCCACAATCAGGGAAAACCGGGAAATGACAGGGAAAGTGTCAGGGAAAAATGGTTAATTTACCCATATTACTCTTCTGGGACGCATTTGACGTTTAGAACAACAAATTTTACCTTTTTACCTAAATTATGTCTTTTTAGCATCTAGCATATCCGCAAGTGTCAGGGAATTTTACTCAAATACGTCAGCGAAATCAGGGAATTGTCAGGGAATTTAATTTTCTGAATCCTGTGGCAACCCTGTTCATAGACTCGACATCCTCGCGCTCGTTTTCTCTCCCGGGGGTTGATTATACCGCACTTTTCGTTGCTCCTTTGACTCAAGGGCGTATCGCAATTTCCACGTGAGCTTTGCTCTCCGTTTAACTCAATGCTTTTCGAGGCTCGTGTGAGAATAGAGATACGCCCTTACGTCAGAGGAGCGACGTTTCAAAGCGGGACCACGGAGGAATTTATGACCATTCGGGACTCGGGAAGAACCTCGTCGGAAACCGGGTTCTCCGGACGATTGGGCCCTACGGTTAATTGCTTTTCAAGTCGGATGAGTCTTACGGCCACCAGTGGCGTCGCGTGCTTTGCGATCTATCGATTGATCTCCCATTTAAACCTATGGAAAAGGATCGATAAACAGGGGTGTTCGCAACAGACATCTTAAAAATCGATTCTTTACCATAGCTTCAAATAGGGGTAAATCGATATTCGATGGTACGCACCTCGTCACTGATGACCACGAGGCCTGGGTCCCTCGATTGGACTCTTTTACTTTGGCTTTGTGGCCGTTGATATCAGTGGCGAGGCATGAATGATCGATTATCGATTTACCCCCATTTGAAGCTGCGGTAAAGAATCGATTTTTAAGATGTCTGTTGCGAACTTCAATATTTCATATTTTCCTTGGTATTCACCGATCAGTCCAGGATTGGACAATGAAAAGTCACTTAGAAAAAGTCGTGTTCCATTAGTAGCCGATTTAAGGTGATCATGGCAACCCTGTCTTTTATAAACACCCAGACATCATAAAAAAAGAATACGAAAGAGAGAGTGTAAAAGAACCGGACCGCTTTGATGCCCACCACGTGGTGCGTTAAAAGGCTCTGGCCCTCCTGACCAGTTGGATTTTTATTACCGTTTCGAATATTTTTGAGAATGTGTCTCGGCCATTCGTGAAATCTTTGCAAAATCGCAGGCTGATAGGTGTAGTATCCAATGCCGATCCGTTAAGTCTTAGTGAGCAGGCATAACGGATCCATAAAAATAAGGCTATTCCATAGCTCTTCCTCGCCAATGTTTCATATCTTTCATAAAATGCAGTTTCCTTTCCGTTTTCCGTAAGAACTTGCCCATTGCATGAAGAAGCCTCTATTGCAAAGATAAATTAAGGTTAAGTGGTTAATGGTGTTTGTTTTATTGGATTTTTTAAAATAGCTATGTTTCTTCTAAGTGGTTCTCCCATCCAATTTTGTTAAGGTGCATGAGAGTTTCAAAAACCCACAAATAATAAATTATAATAATCGAACGATTTTAATCGATTAAATCATTCGCTCAGTCGCCTCTTATATAACGAAAGCTTAACACAGAGGTTTCAAGTTCGAGCACGGAGAAAGAAATGCGATTACTAAGATTGTGTAATCTTTTTCATTTTGTCTAAGAACCCAAACATCCAAATTGAGATTGAGTCAAACAAATAAAATACATCAGAATTGAAAATAATTAAACAGGAATACGATTTTGTAGATTTTACTTTCATGCGTGCTCCTGGTTTTTCCTCTTTTTCTCTTTTAAAGTATTCTCTCAAAAGTTGCACAATATTAGTTAACACGGTGAAGCACTCGTCAGTCAAGTCTGCGCTTGTGGTTCGGCGGTTTATCAACCCCTAAACAAACGAAGAACCAAACAGTAACTGGACCACAATTTTCAATTTGGAACCATAAATTCTAGCCCGGCTTAAAAACGACGTATGTGCCATTAGTTTCCCTATACACATAAGTGTTTTTCCAGATGAGCCAGAATTTACAGTTCCAAATTGCAAAATGCAGTCCAATTAATCGGCTTCCATCTCGTCACCTTCCGGCCAAAGTATCACAAGGGCCATGCTACGTTTAAAAATTTCCGCCGCCATTTTATTTTTTTACAGAGAAACTGTTCGACAAAACTGTCCGAAAATTTTACTGAATTTTCTTTGTGCTGCCGAAAAAATTCAGTGAAATGTTCAAACAGACTGTGCCAACAATTTCTCTGTAAAAAAAATGAAAAAATGGCGGCGGGATTTTTGAAAAGTCGGATGTCAAGTGATACTTTGGCCGGTGGTATCTCGCGAACCATGCTTGAAAAAAACATTGATCAATGAGGTATGTGTCAATAGGAGATTTCTTGGTGTCGACTTTAATTTGGACTGCATTTTGCAATCCGGAACTATAAATTCTGGCTCTTCTGGAAAAACACTTATGTGCATAGGTAAACTAATGACACATACGTCGTTTTTAAACCGGGCTAGAATTTATAGTTCCAAATTGCAAAATGCAGTACATTTATCAGTTGTTTTTACCAATAATAATAAAGTCTCGGCATGAGTCAGCGGTGGCTAGTTAGGGAGGGGGGAGGGGGTTAAAAGGGAGCAGCCCAGAAATCGACTGGAGAGACGAAAGAACGCAAGGTGGAGTGAGGTGGGTGCTGACGGCGGTACGGCAACGTTGACGTCACCTGCCGGATAGGAACGTGGAGATCCGTGGCGGCGGGCGCGGATATCCCGGTGGAGGAACCGAGAGCCGACCGGGTCCGAGGCCCAGCGCGGGAAGCCAGAAGGCAGGAAGACCCGGTCGGTCGGCCGGTTGCCTCACGCCGGTCGGCCCAGAGGCTGGCGGGCGGCGCGACGTTGTCACTCCTCGACGTGGACGTGGACGTCGTCGCCGGTCGGACGGGGACGGGACTCGCAGGGATCGGGCCCTCGCAGCGCCGCGCGGCGGTAGTCAGAAGCGAGCGAGCCCGATGAGTCAAGGTGGGAAGACCCCGGGGGGGGGGGGGGGGGCGCTGGGAGTCGGGAATCGCTGGAGGAGGGATTGAAGGACACACACAATACGAATCCAGTGGGGGTAAGTGGGTCAGTAGGTTGGTTACGAATCCGAGAGAAGGGGAAAGTTAGATAGTCTGGTCTCCCTCGCACATTGCTCGGCGCTGAGCGCGGCGGCGGCGACTCCGAGGCTCACAGGCAATACTCGGGCCCGTAAGTAGGTCACAATCCCTCCCCTCCCGCGCGCGGCCCCCTCCCCGCTCCCCCTCCCCCCCGCTTCACTTTCACTATTGCATGCGCTCTCAATTACTGCCGCCGCCACCATTCCGCCGCACCTCGCCGCTCCGCGCCGCACCGCATCGCGCTGCCTTCTCCTTCTACCCGCGCCAAGCCGCGATTAAGTCCGCGCAACCTTCCCCCGCCCGCCCGCCCCGCGTCGACCAGCACAGAAATCATCTCCCGAACCTCCAAGTTCACTCCGCGACCTCCAACTTCTCAGACAGTCTGGGACTCGGGATTTTCTAGCCGTCGTCCGGAAAATCCGTCGAGTGTTCGCTTCGGAAAGCGTCGTCCTGGTCCGCTTGAAAACCCTCGCGGAAAATTCTAACGATTTTTTTTTCGTTTAGTGGACGGAGACATTGAGAAAACGGCGTGGAGATCGGAAAAACCCGGGGTGATAAGTGATAAGCGATAAGCGGTGAGGGATAAGCGTGAGAAGGATAAGCGCGGGCCGGTGGAAGCGCGAAGCCGAAGCGTGGAAAAGGATCGGCGGTGTTGTCTGGCGGTGTGTTGTGTCGAGCTTGAGCCGCAGCCCGAGCGGCGCTCCGTAGCTGTTGGAGGCCAGCGCAGCGCCGCCGCCTAGCGACTCCGCGCCGCAGCCAGTCAGTCGGTGCATTCAGCTCCTCCGTGCCGGACCTGCTCTTGGTTACCACATACATCGTGCTGTGACGAAATTCCCGCACCACCCCCCGAAAGGATTGTGCCCTGTTTACAAACCTCTCATCCCTCGCTCGCCCTCGACCCCCGTTTTCCCGCCGGTTTGTGTTCTACTCTCGAAACTACCCTCGCCGCCCATGTGTTTGTGTTCCTCGCACGGATGATAACACGAAAACCAGGATTAAGTTTGGAGTGTCAGTGTGTGTGCGCGATTACCGTCCCCGGTGCGAAACGCAACATGATTACGTTCATTTTGAACGGGTGATTTTTTCTACGGGTTGTTTCTTGTTTTTGTTTATTTTATTTTATTTTTTTTTTTGTTTTGGTTCCGCCGAAATTCTCGCAACTGTTCTCCCTCGCGTTGATACCTGAAAAGTTACCACTTGCCCCGCTTAGCACAAATTTAAGTTTTAAGCAAAATGAGAATTCGGTAGCCGGTTCGGTCTGTTGTCTTTGATTGGTTCGTCGAGTTGGTCCGTGTATCGGCCGGCAAGTTCACACGCCAGGATTTACTGTGATACTGTGCTCCGGATTATTGTGTTCTAAATGGGATAAATGGGGTGGGGCTAAAGCTCGGAGATAGCGGAATTAGTGCGCGTAGCATGATCTTAGATATGGAACAACACCAGTCCTCCCTTAGCTCTGTCGGGATGTCCCATTACGCCCCCAACAACGGAGGTGGCGGAAGTCCTACCTCAGGACCCACCACAATGTCACTGCCCCCGCCCCCTCTGTACAGTAGCCCCCCTGTTTACAACATGATCCAATCACCCTCCCAAACGGGACAGTCCCAACAGCAGGGCCAACCACAACAATCCCAGCAGCAACAATCACAGTCCCAGAATCAGCAACCTCCCCCTCCGTCCCAATCCCAGCAGCAGCAACAATCGCAGCAACAACTAAACAATTCGTCCCTTAACCAGCAGCAACCGCAACAACAACACAATTACATGCCTTATAGTTATAACTTGCATAATCTAGACTCCTCACCGTACTTATTTTCTCCCCCAGGGAACGGAGGCAATGTTGCCAGCTCGATGGAACTCGTTGTCTCGAACGCCGGCTCGAGCAACTACGCGCTACAGCAACACCAACAACAGCAGCAGCAACAGTCGCAACAACAGTCGCAACAACAGGGCCAGCTGCAGCAAACGATGCAGCTCAATTCGGGCATCACCGATCTCCCGGATACCAAGGAAGTGATAGCGATCGAAGAGCTTTGTCCAGTGTGCGGGGACAAAGTTTCCGGTTACCACTACGGACTCCTTACGTGCGAGTCCTGTAAAGGCTTCTTTAAACGAACCGTGCAAAATAAAAAGGTCTACACCTGTGTCGCCGAAAGGAGCTGTCATATAGACAAAACCCAACGGAAACGATGTCCTTATTGTCGCTTTCAAAAATGCCTCGAAGTTGGAATGAAATTAGAAGGTAAGCCAGCATGCTTTTTTTTCAATCCCTTTCTCTCAATATTTACTGTCACTACGTAAACACAAACCTTGCAACCCTGCCCACGTGCTAGGTCAGGAATAGGATCTACTATGAAGTAGGTTATGGTTATTTTTTATTAGGTCAAGGTGAAACCGTGCACCCCGTGCTTCCGGTCTCCACCACCACCTCCCCTACAATGAATTAAAATTTTAGTCTCCCGAAAAAATGATCAATCTTGGCGCTTACAACTACAAGGTGTAGCAGCGCACCTTAAGAGAGAGTACAACAGTATGAGGAGTGACTTTCGCAAATTTAGAAATGAAATCTGCAGCTAAATTCTAGTATTGGCACTCAGAGCTCCTGTAAGTGTGAGAGAGATAGCTGCATTTGTTGAGATCAATTGCCCGTGATTGGTCGATTCAAGGTCATTTCACTTAACCCTACCTTTTACCGGGACTCAGCTCGGGAACCTCAGAGAATATTTTATTCCTCATCGTTTTTGTGTCGTTAAGAAGAAGGAATCACAACTTGAAATCTGTAGAAGTGCATAGTCCGATAAACTAAGTGGGATCTTACACCTCTCAACAAATTTGAAAAAAGTGGCGCCCTTTGCGTGAATTGCTCATCACGTGTCATTCTTAAAAACTACAATTTTTCGCGCATCTAGAGATTCATTTTGAGGATCTCACCCCTGTGGTATTTCGTCTCGAAGTTCATCGTAATCTGAGTGTAGATTCCAAATGCAAAGGAAATAATTCCCGGGTAGAGAGTTGAAAAAATGATGGGCATTGCGTCTCGCTCAGGGCTGGATACCAAAATTAAGTTAAAAGAAAAAATGAACGAAAAATGACAGGGCCTAAGGTAATTTTATCGTTCAAGCTTGATTTTCCTCTCGCTCGATTTTTCTCGACCTATGACTTTTCAAACTTGGCAATTCAACTCACGGTTGCTATAATTACCCCCTTTTTTATACGGCTTGGTAAATTGTCGATCAAAAATGTCCAGGAACATTCGTCACTTTGATCCAGGAAAACTAGCAAAGGCAGAAGCTTTTTGTCTGAAGTCTATAAATATCTTCCTATTGATCATGACGGTCTTTTCTCCCTCTTTTTTTTTCTCCTCTGAAGTCAAGCCTCCGCCGCCAGATTCTGTAGGTTGTTGATGGGAAATGTCAGGAAATTTGTCCCATTTCGGTCCGAGATTATTTGCTAAAGTCGGAATATTTTTCTTGAAGTCTGTAACGCCCTTAAATTGTTCGCGTCGGATTCTTACAAACGAGCTTTTCTTCCTCATTCTTCTGAGTGAATCACTTAAAGCTCTTCCGAAAGGAGGTTCTTATCAAAATATGTGTCAGGTGGATTGGTTCTTAACTTAGTACACTATCGCAAAGTCTGAAGTAAACTGTCTCTTTTTAAATATTTTTTCGCCTTACTTTCCCTGTATTCAATTATCACTTCTTCATTTGGTTAGGTTTGTTTTTGTGTTTTGTTTTTTTTTTTTTCAAAAGTATTTTTCTCGTCCTTATTGGTGTTTTTAATGATGGGGATCACATTTCTAAAAGGAAAAAGCCTTGCAAATTGTCAATTTTCAAGCCTCACTCGAACTAACGTCATTGATAATTTGCATAATTCAGCCGGTTAGGTTCCCTTCGTAACACACATTTGATTATTTAATTTTTAATCAAATACGAACCAGCCAATTATATGAATTTCTCGAATTCATCAATCATAACTGGGTTAATGTTTGTTATCTTACATAATTGAAAACTCTTGCTGAAAAAGAGACAACATTCTTTTCCTTAACGCTATCAACAAGTTCAAATTATTGATAATATCCGTGCCTACTGAGACAACAGGATAGCTCAAAGACGAAAGTATTCAAAGTTTTTTTTTAAAATAATATGGTGGACGTATTTAAAGTAGTACGCAACGGAAATTAAAAGAGGTTTTTTTCGGAGGTTGGGATATTTTTTGGTAGTTACCATAATCGTTTCTTTTTATTTTCATCTTTTCATTTGAAGGATTTAATTTGCAGCATATTCGAAACAAGCAGAAGAATCCCCCCCCCCTAAACTACGAGAAATGCATTGATCGCATGTCAAGCCCTCATAAAAATCAACTAATACAGGGGAATAATTTATAATTAGCTTTTAAGTTCAATCGATATTTGGAGGGTTAAAATGTATATAGGCTCACGCTAGAAGTCCTTTGAATCTTCCCCTCATAAATAATTCTGCATTCAGAGCTTTCGTGTGCCTTTCATGTGTCTTCAATTCATTGAATGTTTCATTTCAAAATCAAATTTTCTACGAAATTAAGATTACATTTACCCTCCTTGCCACAGATGAAAATATCTCTCGACGATAGTAGCTCTCTCCTGCCTTTCCTCTTAGTTTTGAATAATTAACTGAAACCTATAATTTTCTTATATCTGTTTGTGAAAAAAAGGAACCAATTGATTATACGTAGTAGTTGCGCTGACTGCCCTGAAAACAATTTCACAGCAGCTTTCCCGCCGGATGATAACATGCGCTTCATGACACTCGACGAGTCCAAATTAAAATGCGCACAGAATGAGGTTTTCAGTTCATAATTTGCTCAGAGTAAAGCCAAATTTTTTCCGAACTTCCATACCGAATAGAACAATCACAGCTGTGTTTTCGGAAGAGTAGGTATTTATCGAAGGTCATCACCAAAAATCATATTGTGGAATCAAAAATCCATTTATCAATGAGCACTTGTTTTGTAGATTATCAGGTCTTTGGGAACCTAACCTGACGCGAGGATCATGTCTGCCTGTGATTTTACCCTTTATTTTCTTTTATATTGATCTCTCATCAAACAAAAACGTAAAATAATTAAACTACGTTGCCATTAAGCATGTAGGAGAATGTTTTTCTTTTTTGCAAGGGAGCCAGAAAGTTTTGCTTTTTTTTCAATTTTAGCACTATTCGTGAATCAATTGTTACAGACCAAATTAATTCCAGAAGTTTCACTTTGTTCCGTACTTTTATTTCTTTTCGCGATGAGAGAAGAGTTTTCTAATTATAATAATGTTGCACTTGATTCATCTCACAATTAGCAAAACTCAGTCTACATTTGTGATAAAGACCCCCGTTATCAATACACGGTGGGCAAGTTTTAACAGTTTCACCTGTAAATCAAGAAATTTAATAGCAGCTATTCAATACAGAACCCCTGACTTGTTCCCAACGCGATACTACCATCAGAACCCTGTTAACAAAATTTTATCATCCAAGTATAAACCTGTAACAATGCGCGAACATGGGTCTGCATAGTGAAGTTTACTTAGGCTGTCCAAATGTTGTAATGTGCATGCAAAACGAGCAAGACAAACGGAAAAGCTCGGAATTGAAGGTTGAGATGAACGGAAGGAAAGTGAGGAAAATGCACGAAAAGGATGGAAATTAGTAAAATAACGCTTACCTTTAATACCTTAGTATATACCTTAATTAAACGCTCACTTATGAACATAGTACAGAACTTTTTTTCTCCCTCTTTTTTATTAGATTTTTGTTTCGTTCATGTATCATTCATTCAACGGTCTAGTAAAAAACTGTGATTTTTTAAGGAGATATTGAAGAAATCATCCATTTATCATGTCATCATAACATGAGTAATATCTCTGACGTCACCCATATACTAATTCAGTTTTAAAAAATGGTAGTCGTTTGACGGGTTGAGCACGTGATGTCCTATTTTTTTTTGTTTCCTGAAATCACGTAAAAATTTGTTTTCGCTGTAATTTCTCAGATGTGTAGTCGCAGCTGGCTTTTTTCTTCAGTCTAACACTTCCACCGCTCATATTAGGAAAGCTATCGTGAGAAGCACGTACAGTTTTAACAATCTAATCTAAACGAAACGACCCCTATTTTTGCCTGTGGAGAAAGAATGATTTAACTTACATCGTGTTTTTGAATTTTCGAATACGTGCTCGTTCATTTTATTCATCTATCATAGGTCTAAATTTTAATCATTTTTTTACTTTTGATCGTTTCAAATTCTGTCTCCGCGCGTTTGTCGAATGCTAATTTTGCCCTCTTTGTCGATTTTTTCTTCTTTTTTTTCTTTTAAAGTATGATTTATTTTGGACTCGAGAAGTGCAGAATAGTGTAACGTCGCTTACATGACGCTTGGCTTGTGATTTGAGGAAATTGTGAACAGATAAAGCGCATTATTGAAAAGGGATTTAGACAACTTAATTCACGCCGGAACTGCTATTGAAAACAACAAAACAAAAAACCGCTACCGGTAGAAGTATACCCAAAAAAATATTCCAGCAAATAATTTGTAACCGTTTCAAAAACAGTGGCCGCCATAATATTTCGTCAAAACGCACGTATAGCTAGTAAAATAAAAACATACAAACTTAAAAGGTCACTAAACAATTAACGCCGTTATTTACTTCTGTTTTAGCGTAGTCTAGATTATAATTTTTACGGTATGCAATTCCGTTGCCAAATGGACCCCTATTCATCATACAATTAAACGAGATTAGTGAAAAACAAGAAGGAGAGCATTTTTTCTATGAATTTAATTACCTATTTTCTGTTAACCGTGAATCTAGTCGTATTATTTTTTACCGTTATCCGCTGTCACTGCCTTCATTTAAGCAAAGCTTGCTTTGGTTGTTTATCCGCGTTATTACTTTTCCACTCAAATTTTAGTCCTCATCTCCGCTTAAAATATTTTAAATTGATCATAATTTTTTGGATTCCAAAATAACAATCCTTTTGACCAGTGACTAGCTAATTTGAATCCAAATCTATTGAATTTTTAACATTAAATATCTTATGAACTTTATACCTCCGATTTCTGAAGAAAAATCTGAAGCGTTCTTGCCCATTCTCCTATCTTGTTATTTCAACACTTCTGTTAAGATTTAAGGTGCAAAGAGCATTTTTAACACCGGAAACATAGCTTTATATTCAGGATTCATCCGTGGCTCGTAATCGATTTGCGAGTATTTCGAAAGGAAGA